GTTGGGTAAAGTAGTCTTGGTTGTAGTTCCTTGCTTTTTATCACTGAATATTTTATCCAATTTCTTGTGGCCTAAAGTGTTTCTGTTGAGAAATCAGCTGACAGTGTTCTGGGAGCTCCCTTGTAGGTAACTAAGTGTGTTTCCATTGCTGCTTTTCAGATTCCCTCTTTGTCTTTAACCTTTGCCATTTTAATTATATGATGTGTCTTGGTGTGGGCTTTTTTGGGTTCATCTTGTTTGGGACTAGCTGTGCTTCCTAGACTTGTGCATTTTTGTCCTTCACCAGGTTAGGGAGGTTTTCAGCCATTATTTCTTCAAGTAGGTTCTCAATCCCTTGCTCTCTCTTCTCCTGGCACCCCTATGATATGTATGTTGTTATCCTTCATTTTGTCCCAAAGTCCCTTAAACTATCCTTATTTTTAAAAAATGCTTTTTGCTGCTTTGGTTGTTTTCTACTACCTTGACTTCCAAATTGCTGAATTGATCCTCTGCTTTATCTAACTTACTGTTTATTTTTTCTAGTGTATTCTTCATTTCATATATTGTAGTCTTCATTCCTGATGGGTTCTTTTCCATGGTTTCTATGTCATTTTCAATGCTGTTGAAGTTCTCACTAAATTTCTTGGGCATCCTTATAACCATTTTTTTTACCTCTATATCTGGTAAATTGCTTGCCTCCATTTCATTTAGCTCTTTTTCTGGAGAGTTCTCTTGTTCATTCATTTGTGGAGTGTTTCTTTGTCTCCCAATTTGGGTTGTGTCTTTTTTAAAATATATATATATTTTTTTTAATATAAATATATATATATATTCACACCTGTCAGAATGGCTATATATATATATATATATATATATGTGTGTATATATATATATTCACACCTGTCAGAATGGCAATATATATATATATTTATATATATATATTCACACCTGTCAGAATGGCAATATGTGTGTGTGTGTGTGTGTGTGTGTGTGTGTATATATATATATATAATTGATTTCAGAGTGAGGAAGGAGAAGGAGAGAGAGCTAGAAATATCAATGATGTACAGTCTATTCAATAAATGGGGTTGGGAAAATTGGGCAGATATGTGCAAAAAAAAAATAAAGGCCACCTTTTTACACCATACACAAAAATAAACTCAAAATAGATTAAAAACTGCCCGGCCGGGCGTGGCTCAGCGGTTGAGCGTTGACCTGAGATCCAGGCGATCGGGGTTCGATTCCCAGTCAGGGCACATGCCCGGGTTGCGGGCTCGATCAATGACTCTCTCATCATTGATGTTTCTACCTCTCTCTCTCCCTCTCCTTTCCTCTCTCTGAAATCAATAAAGATATATTTTTTAAAAAAATAGATTAAAAACTTAAATATTAGACTTGAAACCAAAAAATTAAAGAAGAAAACGGTGTAAAATCTCAGACATTTCTCATAGCAGTATTTTTTCTAATATAGCTCCTCGGGCAAGGGAAACAAAAGAAAAAATAAACAAATGAGACCACAGCAAACTAAAACATTTTTGCACAGCAAAGGAATCCATCAACAAAATGAACAGACAACCCACTTAATGGGAGAACATATTCACCAATGATACATCTGATAAGGGGTTAATATCCAAAATTATAAAGAACTTATACAACTCAAAAACAAAAACAAAAAAATAAAAATCAATCCAATGAAAAATGGGCAAAAGACCTGAATAGACACTTCTCCAAAGAGGACATACAGATGGCCAATAGGCATGTAAAAAGATGCTCAATATCACTTATCATCAGAGAAATGCATATTAAAATCGTAATGAGATATCACCTCACACCTGTAAGAATGGTAATCATCAAGAAATTAACAAACAAGTGCTGGAAAGGTAGAGAAACAGGAATCTTTGTGCACTGCTCATGGGAATGCAGATTGGTATAGTCACTGTGGAAAACAGTTTGGAGTTTCCTCAAAAAATTAAAAATAGAATTGCCTTATGACGCAGCAATTCCACTTCTGGGCATATATCCAAAGAAATCTGAAACACTAATTCAAAAGAACTTAGGCACCCCTATGTTGATAGCAGTGCAATTCACAATAGCTAAGATCTGAAAATAACCCATGTGCTCATTAGTAGGTGAGTAGATAAAAAAGCTGTGGTACATTTTAGGTAGTGGAATACTACTCGGACATAAAAAAGAAGGAAATCTTACCTTTTGCGACAGCATGGATGGACGTGGAGAGTACAGTCAAACCTCAGTTCTCAAACGTCTCCCATCTCAAACAATTCGGTTCTCAACCAAGTTATTCGCAGAAAATACGTCTTGGTTATTGAACAAAACTTACATTCTGGACCTCACAACCCTTTCCTGCTGATACATCAGCATAACAAAAAGCGTCTCTCAGGCCACAAACAAAGGTGATAACATGCATCAGTTTTCTGCTAAACTTCGAATTGTTAACCTTTCGGGAAGTTGTGCTGTGAATACTTTTGTGTTTTGGGGGGTTTTTTCCTGCTTTTGTTGCTGGCAAAATGGACAATTAGCACAATTTTAAAACATAAAGAGGCCATCAATACTTCTAATGTTGACAATGGTGTAAAAGAAACAATGATCACAGGCAACTGAAGAGGTAGGTAGAAAAACTGTTGATTTGGATAAATGAAAAGCAGTTAGCTGGTGGCAGCATTTCGGAGGCAGTGATATGTGAAAAAGCAAATATGCTGCATGCTGACTTCCTAAAATATACCCCTGGAATGGGTGCCAAAAGTGATTTGTTTAAGGCTAGTAGGGGGTAGTTCAATGAATTTAAAAAGTGTTTGTTTATAGATTAAACAGTACATTAGATATGTACTGTATATAAGAAAGGTTAAAACGGAATCATTTGGGAGTCTGGAATGAATTAATTCAATTTACATTCTTTCTAATGGAAAAAAATGATTCCGTTTTTGAACAAATAGCTTCTCGAACAGCCTTCTGGAACAAATTAATTTCAAGAACCGAGGCTCCACTGTATTATGCTAAGTGAAATAAGCCAGACGCATAGATACAGAGAACAGACTGACAGCTATCACCGGGGAGGGTGTTGGAAGGCTGAGTGAAAAGGGTGATGAGATCAATAAAAAATAAAAAAAACACCCTCATGGACACCAACAACAGTACGTTGATTACCAGAGGGAAAGGGAGGTTGGATGAGGTAGAATAAGGTTAAGCAGGGATTAATGGTGATGGAAGGAGATTTGACTGTGGGCACAGGTGTACAGATGATGTATTATAGAATTGTACACTTGAAACCTATATAATTTTATTAACCAATGTCACCCCAATAAATGCAATATAATTTTTTAAAATATTCACACCCCTCTGGTTGCCTAATCAGATCTCACTTGCTCTGCCAACCACTACCAGCTTCTTCTCAGGAAAGTAGGAGCTCCTCTGAGCTCAGCTGATTGGCAGAAGCAGTGCTAGACTATATGTAACTAAAGGTAACAGCTGTAGCTCTCTTCTGCTTTGTTTTGCCAGGTCAGATTCTATGATTTAATTCTGACAAGTGACCTGATACTCTTCTGTTCACTCTAAGTGGTCTCTATTTTTTAAAAACTACTGGCACGTGGTCAAGGAAGAGAACTTCTTAAAGTTCAAGGTGTGTGCTCTAGCACTAAAGGATTTCAGAGGACAACCATGACTTCCACTATTTAGCATGAACAAGAAGCAGGAGAGAAAGCAAGGGGAGTCAGAAGAAAGGAAATAGAAAGTAAATCTCAGACATTGAGAAAGAGCCTGGCTAATTCCAATTTCTTAGACTTTCAAAAAATGAAAAAAAATGGAGAAATGCACAAACTGGGTTACCAAATTACAGTATATTTTAAAGTTATAAACAGATTCACAGTTAGATTTTTAAAGTTCATAAATAACATTGCAAAGAAAACATAGTTCTCATCTGTCATGCATATCTTATTTAGAAATAACATTAGAGTCTACTTTGAATCTTTGTAAATATGAAGCCAAGACAAATAGGTCTACTATCTACAACCCACCACCAGGTGCCCATCCAAAAAGTCTCAACAGAACGGGAGTAAAAGTTTAGAAAAATGGACTAAAGAGAATACAAAGAGTGACAAAGAGCCTGTAAGGAGATCACTATCTTGGGACTCTGATCACTGGGTGCCCAGAGAAAAGCTGCAGACACAAAGTAGAAAAGAAAGAAAAGTAGCAAGACCTGGAATAGCACTTATAGTGGTTTCAGGTACATTGGGTGCCATGCAGGGTCACTTTCTACTGATTTAGCCACTGATTTATTTAGTAAGAGGCATCTGCAATCATCCAGTAGGTGCCCACTAAACATAAGGCACTGTGCTTGGAACTGAGGAATGGAAGTCAGGATAGAGTAAGACTGTCTCTGTGGACAAGGAAATTGAAATGTGTTCTCTCCACGCTCTGGGAAGCAAGTAAGGAGGTAAATAGGTCTCAAAAGAGAATGGGTTAGGTTCTCAGAAACACCTTCAATAAGTTGTCAAACCCTCCTAGAATAACCTCAATGGCATGGAGCCTGCTAATTCACAGGTAAGTGCTTGGAAAATCAATATATAGGCAAGTACTTGGAAGTTTGTATTGGGATCCTCTTGTGCTAAATTCCTTCCTTCCTTCCTTCCTGTTATACGGTGTTAACCACCTTACAATCCATACACACCATTAGGCCACCGTTCCAGCCCTCCAAGAACTTCCAAGGTATTGGGGAAGTCAGTAAGGAGATCACTACCTTGGGCCTCCGATAACTGGGTGCCAGGAGAGAAGTGTCGCCTAAGCTCAATCTTGAAAGGGGAGCAGGATTAGCCCTCTATAGAGTAGGGGACATGACGACAGGGCAGAACAGGTGAGTAGGGAGGTCAGAGGAGCCTGTCCGTCCAAGCCTTTTTCTATTAGGTGTACAACCTTTCTCCTACATCTTCAATTCTGACTCCAATACTAATTCTGACAATAAACTTATTTCCGTAAGAATGTTTGGTGAATCACGCTTCTGAGATACCTACATCATGGTCTTCCAAAGTCCCTTGTTCTGCAATAATTCTCCACCATTTTAGTAAAAGGCCTCTAATACCAGCCTTGAAACGCGGTTTCATCTGTATCAATATTTTATATTATAAATCCATCCAAAAGTTGGGCACTCTGAAGTGAAGCGGGTAGAAAATGGTTGCTGTACCGCAAGGAAAGAGGCCAAAGCATTCCGGTCGAGTGCTTTGCGCAGGGCAGCGGCGCTCGCTGCGCAGGCGCCGGAGTGGGCGCGCGCATGCGCGGGAGGACATAGAGCGCGAGTGCAGACAGACCTCGGGAGGCTGGACTTTAGGGAAGGGGGCGCGGCGCACACAGCATGGCGTCCAACATCTATTTGATCCGCCAGCGGATCAACCGGCTCGGCCAGGTGAGGCCCAGGGAGGCTCCTCCCCTTCCCAGCCCGTCCACTCTCCACTCACAGCCACTGTTCCTCTCGGCCTCCGCCCCAGTGCCTACGGAAGCGACCCAACTGCCG